GTCCCTAGCAGAACTGGTATCTGTCTCTCACTGCTGCCTTTTCAGTTGGTGCTTCAGTGGCTCCTTTGCTGCCAGCCTTAGAGAAGAGAGGCCAAGAAGGAAATATGACCTGGTGGCTGAATTCCTGTCTCTCTGCAAAGGAGTCCCTGCAGGCCAAGTCTGAAGTACATTAGTGAGAAACAATACTGAGGTGGAGTTTTCACGGCTTCCTGCCTGTGCTCAGCCTTTCCTGAGGACAAAGAGGTTTTTGTCCTTGGGGCTCCCAGTCCAGCACTTTCTGCTGTTGTCACCAGATGCTTCAGTAAGTCAGCTAAGAGCTGCATGAGGGTTCTGGATGGTGAAGGACCTTCTGAGAATGGTGGTAGCCTGAAACTTGTGCCCTACTCAGTCACTTAAAGCCCATCTTTTGACCCCATGCCATGGAGCTAGTGTTGTTTCCGATACACACCTAATGCATTAGCCAGCCACTGTATCTGACCTTGTGCTCTTTGCACTACCACCTACTTCTGGGATCAAGGAGAAAGTTGCCAGAGTCATGGCTAAATCCTGATCGCAGGAGCAAAGTCTACTCTGCAGGGGTTTAGAATTTTCACCCTCTCACTAAATTGGCAGCACTTTTTGGCTATTCAGCACAGGGTAAAACATATACCATTGATCCCGAACAGTTACCTCTGTCTCTCCCTCCCAGAGGCTAGCAGGGAGAGAAGCAGGGGGCAGTCATTATAACCTCTCCATGATTCTGTTCCTTCATTCCAGCACAGAAAATCAGTTTTCCTGCTAAAGGGCCCTGCTATGTGTTCAAATTCAAGCTGGATAGAAACCAGCTGTTAAGTTATTACACATTTTCAAGCACTAACTTTATAGCTGGTTGGCTCTTTATAGCTGGATGACATTTTCATGGTGTGAGAATTGCTGTATACATGTGGCCAGTCTAAACTTGTTGCGTGATTAACTAGTTCATTGTGTGATAATTACTTTGCACATGTCCTAAATAAGACCAGCCACATGTGGGCAGTCTAAATTTATAGCACAATTCGCCAATGAATTGTGTAATATGCGTAACGTGTGGCAGGGACCTAAAACATGCACCCCAATTTTGGAGGGCTGATTTTTTGGGGGGTAAAAGGCTACATATGGTATGGTAGTAAATACAGTAGGGGTCTTCCTGACTTTCTTACTTGATTCAGCTGTGTTCTTACTCTGCTTTTTGGTTTAATTGACAACTTCTATATCCCAGAAGTCTTTATGTAGCACATGATTGGCTGGTGTCTCTGGTTAGAGTCTTCTGGCTTGGGTGATAATGGCAAATGACAAACACAGTGGAGACAGCAACTCAGCCACACCAAGTGGATGAGTCAGCCTCCATCTGCAGCAGCTGTCAGACTCATGCCTTGCTATTGTTGGGAAGAGGTGTTGGCCATCCACACAGTGAATTTGGTTTGTCATGTAGGGAGCCTGAGCTGGAGCTGTGTGCTAATGGAGGTCACCCTCTGGAACTGATTTTCTTAGAGTTGTAATTTCTGCCTGTTGTCCAGGTGTAGTTGGGGATGGGAGCGGGGTGGGGCTGCCTGTGCACACCAGCATGGTGTCCTGTCTGGTCCAGATTCCTGTCTGATCAGTAGTCACCACCAGATGGTTCAGTTGAAGGTACAAGAACCCCCTGGTGCGGTCACTAAACCTACTCTGATGATTTCTTGCTGTATCTTCCTGCTCCTGCTGTGGGCATTTTCTCTCTCCTTCCTCAGGATACTGGCACAGGAAATCTTACAAGTGCATCAGGGAGTCAATAAGCTCTCTCTTTATCTGGTAGGTTTGGATGCAGGGAAGATAAAGCAAGTGGGAACTATCTGCGGGCAGGAGAGCACCCGGCGCATTGGGGATTACAAGGTCAAATATGGCTACACTGATATCGAACTCCTCAGGTTAGAGACATTTAGCTGTTCTTTCTCTTGAAGGCTTCTCACTCTGACCCGCGCATGCGCCTTTTAAGTACTAAACCAGCTTTCTCCCTACAGTGCTGCTAAATCTAAGCCTATCATAGCAGAGCCCGAAATCCATGGAGGGCACTCCCTGGATGGGGTGACTGGTTTCCTGGTGCTCATGTCAGAAGGACTCTACAAAGCTCTGGAGGCAGCTCATGGGCCTGGGCAGGCCAATCAGGTTAGAGTTCCCAGAGGCATTTCCCTAAGAGTGTTGCTAAATTGTCCCATTCATGTCAGCCGCACTCTCGCAAGGTTTGTTGCACATGCATCCTGTTAACACCAGCTTGGTTGAAAGGCCCCACTGCCTTATTCCCAGCATGCAGTGGGGTGTGTGTGCTGTCCTGGCAGACTAGTTTCTCCAGGACTAGTTTCAGAGTAGCTAGAGTCAAGAGGGACCTGAACAGATCATCTAGCCTGACCCCCTGCCACAGGCAGGAATGAATGCTGGGTTCACAAGACCCCAGACAGGTGATTGTCCAACCTCCTCTTGAACTTGCCCAAGGTAGGGGTGAGGACCACTTCCCTGGGAAGTTGGTTCCAGATTTTGGCCACCCTAACTGTAAAATATTGCCTTCTGATCTCTAACCTAAGCCTATTCTCCATCAGCTTATGACCACTGTTCCTCGTCACCCCAGGTGGTGCTGGGGAGAAAAGGGCTCTTCCTATTTGCTGTTGATCTCCCCTGATGAGTTTGTAGGCAGCCACCAGGTCCCCCCTCAGCCTCCTCTTGCTGAGGCTGAACAGGTTCAGGTTCAGGTCCCTCAGTCTCTCCTCATAGGGCCTGTCCTGCTGCCCTCTCACCAAGCGGGTGGCCCTCCTCTGAACCCTTTCCAGGCTGGCCACATCCCTTTTGAAGTGTGGCGCCCAGTACTGGATGCAGTACTCCAACTGCGGCCTGACCAAAGTCGCATAGAGGGGGAGTATCACCTCTCTGGACCGGCTTGAAATGCACCTTTGGATGCATGGCAAGGTATGGCTGGCCTTGCTGGCTGTGGTCTGGCATTGGCAGCTTATGTTCATCTTGGAGTCAGTAATGACTCCAAGATCCCTTTCCACCTCTGTGCTTTCAAGAAGGGAACTCCCCAGCCTGTATGTATACTGTGGATTCCTTCTCCCAAGGTGCAGCACCCTGCATTTGTCTACACTAAACCCCATCCTATCCTCATCTGCCCACTTCTGTAGTCTGTCTAAATCTATTTGCAGCCTCTCTCTCCCTTCAAGTGTGTTCACCTCGCCCCCCATCTTGGTGTCATCAGCAAACTTGGACAGCGTACTTTCCACTCCCTCGTCCAAGTCGCTGATGAGGATGTTAAACAGTGCGGGCCTGAGGACCGAGCCCTGGGGGACTTCTCTTTCTTCTCTTCCTGTTTCTGGAAGTGGAGCATTCCTTAGGGACTGGGAAATCCTTGGTTCCAGAGTACAAAGATCAAACTGAGTTTAGACATTCAGGCCTTGCCAGCTGTCTGACTGGCCAGGTGCCATAAGAACTCTTGATATTAGTTGGCTGGGGAAGGGTTTCCTTAGCACCCTCTCCTAAAAGTCCTTCTTTTTTGTTCCTTGCATCCAGGAGATTGCAGCCATGATAGCCACTGAGTTTGCTAAGCAAACTTCGCTGGATGCTGTAGCTCAGGCTGTGGTGGACCGGGTGAAACGGATCCATTGCGACACCTTTGCCAGTGGTGGGGAGCGATCCAAGTTCTGTCCCCGGCATGAGGATATGACTGTGCTGGTGAGGAACTTTGGTCACCCGCTGGGTGAGATGAGCCAGCCCACACTGACGCCAACACAAGGTAGGGACCAGTAAAAAAAAACTGAGACAAAGATGGTGGGTGGAGGATAAGACCTCTCCTTCCATCCAGTGCCATCCTGATGTCAGGAGAAGAAACTTTCAGTGCAGAGACTGTTTTCTAAGGGAAATGTCTCCTTCCCAAAATAATTTAGCATGGTCTGGAAAGCATTAGATAAAGCACCCCTCTTTTACAGGCATATGGGATATTAATGGGTCAAAACATTCCTGTACCACCTGAGGCTTTTCATGCCACTCGTCCACCCCTTGTTATTTTCTTCTTCTCAGGAGGCCGCATCTACCCTGTTTCTGTGCCATACTCCAGCGCCCAGAGCACGAGCAAGACCAGCGTGACACTGTCCCTTGTCATGCCTTCTCAAGGCCAGATGGTCAATGGTGCCCACAGTAGCTCCACTCTGGATGAAGCCACCCCAACTCTTACAAAGTAAATGCTGTTAAAAGCTGTATCATCTTTAAATACCAATTGTTGCTCCCAGCTCTCTGCCCTCCTGCAGTTTGGGTGCAGCCCAGGGAAGGAAGCTGTCTGTTACCTGCTGCACTATTCTTTTACCCAAAGGTGTGGCCTTTCTGCCTGCAACATTGCATCCTATCCATGGTTGTCTGAGATGTGTCATTTGAGGAGAATTGTGCTGGATGTGGGAATGAACTGAGCAAACATTTCTGGAGCATGCTGTGGGAACATGCTTCAGAGAATCAGCAGGGGGCACTCAGGGATTAGACAGCACTTCCTTTTGCTAGCAATGATTTTGTAGGCTGAGGTGAATGCTGGCCTGCCTGTTCCAGCTGATTCATTTACTAAGGGGCCAGGGCTGTGCTGCCCTGCTGTTGTTAAAGGAGCTGGGGCTGGGTATATTTTCCTGGTGTGGAAAGGTTTTCAGATGATGCTAGGAGAGTGAAACAAGGGTTGGGTTTCAAGCACATTGGGAAGGAGTCTCTAACTTGCAGGCATATACTGTTAGCTTTGATTTCAGTTCAGCCTTTGTCATAGCAAGATTTGTGTGTGTCCTGTCATGCCAAGCTACCAGCTTAGTTACCATGTCTCTATTGCTTCAAAAACAGTGGAGCTTGCCCACCCAAGTTTCTCAGGGCTACATTGCAAGTACTATGCACTTCATACTGCTGGACTTCTAGAGGTCTAAAATATCTTGGGGCAAGGAGAGAGTTCTGCAGTTTCCCTGAGATTTTCCCTTATAATGCATCCCTCGGAGACACCATGCATGAGGCCAGCCCAGCCAAAGATAGCATAGTTGACTTTGGTGCCTGTGACACTTGGAGCACTTTTGAATATGTCTGATAATGAGGAGGGGAGAATGAGGTACCTCAGCTACATGTGCCTGTTGACTAAAGTTTTAGTCAGTACAATTGCCTTCACACACACAGAGACCTGCCTCTGCACATCAGAGACTAAAGACTAAATTGATACAGTTAAGAGGCTGGCACCTCTTTTATTGGCCCAAGGCATCAACTAGTAACATGAACATATTTGTGCTCTCTTTCTCAGTCAGAGCCCAACTGTGACTCTCCAGTCCACCAACACCCATACTCAGAGCAGCAGCTCAAGTTCAGATGGGGGCCTCTTCCGTTCCCGTCCCACCCATTCCCTCCAGCCTGATGAAGATGGACGTGTAGAGCCCTACGTGGACTTTGCAGAGTTCTACCGGCTTTGGAACCTGGACCATGGTGAACAGGGAGCACTCACAGTGTCATAATGTGGGGAGAAGAAGGGAGAGGCATCCTGCAACCACAGTGAGCTCGACAGAGACACACAGGCAAAGACTAAGGTGAGGATGAAATAGGTCCAGGTGGTAGCCATGTTCTGCCGTGGATTCAGCCCTGGTTCAGGATGCAATGAGCCTGGGGGTGGGTTGCTGGTGCAGCTGTCTCAACACACGTGTTGCCTATGTCCTTCATCTTCTCCTTATCCACCTCTTTCC